GAAAAAAAGCCAATGATTAACCACTAAGATTCAACTGACAAGCAGGACCACCAAGACAGGTATATTTATTTACTATTTCTAGTTTGTCTGTCTCTCTTTCTCTCTCATTTTATGTGTATGAGTGTTTTGCCTGCATGTATGTGAGTGCACCCATGTCATGCAATGCCCACAGAGGTCAGAAGATGGCTCTGGATCCCCTGGAAATGGAGTTATGGATTGTTCTTAGCCACCACATGGGTGCTGGGAATTCAACCTGGGTCCTCTGCAAGAGCAGCCAGTGCTCTTAACTGCTGAACCATCTCTCCAGCCCCAAGTCTTTTTTTTTTTTTTTAATAAGGGATTACAATGACTTAACCATATGCATTGACATAAGACAGATATCTTTCCATCTAATGCTGGGGCTTACAAAAGCAGAGGAGAGCCAGATCAGTTGAAGCTTACTAATATGACTGCAGCCCATGAGCAGGGGGAAGATCCCAGCCAGGGATCACCGCCTTTAACCATGATGAAATGAGTGTCAGGTAGAAATTAGGCCTTTCTCTTTTTTAAAAAATTCTATTTTAAGCCAGGCGTGGTGGCACACACCTTTAGTCCCAGCACTTAGGAGGCAGAGGCAGGTGGATTTCTGTGAGTTCAAGGCCAGCCTGGTCTACATAGCGAGTTCAGGTCAGCTGGGACTACAGGGAGACCCTGTCTCAAAAAGACAAAAAAAAATTCTATTTTATATTATGTGTATGAGTGTTTTGCTTGCATGTATATAAGTGTACCCATCATGCAATGCCTGCGGAGACCAAACAAGGGTGTAGGATCCCCTGGAACTGAAGTTACAGATGATTGTTAGGCCTTTCTTCCCAGAGCTAAGCACACACTCAGACCTTGCCCTGAAAGTCAGACAAGCTGAAGGAGGACACTGGAGAAGAAGAAGTGTGGCAGCAGTGGTCCAGTCCCACATTGCCTCAGGCCAACGAAATGAGCCAGCAGATTGATGATAAAATGAACGAACTACAAAACTACTGCTGTGGGCTGGAGAGATGGATCAGTAGGTAAAGTCACTGGCTGCCAAGCCTGATGACCTGAGTTTGATACCCAGGACACACACGGTCGAAGAACTGATTCTAGAGGGCTGTCCTCTGACTTCTAGACATGCATACAAAATAAATTGCTTAAAAATTAAAACCTACAAGTATATACATTTATGAAACTGTCAAAGTGTAAACTAAAAATACCCACTATTTAAAAAGACACTATTTAAAAAAACTGTGCAGTTAATTAATTTCCTGACATTCATGTTGAGGCTTATTCCCTGTGGCCAATTCCAGTCTCCAAAATACAACGCATCTAAAGAGTACTGGTTTATCAATAAGTATTCTAACCACATTCTAGAGAACTGTCCCTGCAGTTAAAACTCACACCTCTCAGACTTCCTTGTGCCTAGAATTCTAGATATAATTTGGATTGTATAAAGAAAGGCAGATTTGGTATCAAAGCATCCAGCTGTGGAGATCATGGCAGAGACAGGACATCTGGGAGCAAGACAAAGACATAGCTTTTCAATTAGGTATCTAGGTTTCGGATCATAATAGAGACTGCAGCACCCGTAGTTGGCCTATTTTGAAGTAAGACTCTCAACAATTCTTAGAAGATCAGATTAAAGTCCGTTTCTTACCTTCCCTGCTACTTACTGTTTCTAATAGGCTTTCTATTCAAAGAAGCCAGAGAAAAGGCAAAAGTAATATATACCATGCTACCAATTTAGAATTTTCTAGACCATGAAAGTAAAAACAACAAAAACCTAATAGTAGTACTATTGCATATTCATTTTCACACAGTAATTTTATTCCATACCAATGTTAGCCTATGTCCAAGAATATTTTTTGAACATTTTTATTACGTTTATTTATTTAGAGTGTCTCAAGTGTAGAGGTCAGAGGATGACTTGTGGGAGTTGGTTCTCTCCTTCCACAATGTGAATCCCTGGGATTAAACTTAGGTCATTAGGCTTGCTGGAAAATTCCTTTATGAGCTGAGCCATCTTGCCAGCACTATGTCCAAGAACCTATGGCCAAGAATTCAGTTTTAGTCCAGGAATGTCACCAGCAAGCCTCATCCCTCAGCTTGAGCTTTTCTTTCCTCCCTTTATCTTCAGAGATAGCTAAAACATCATTTAACTCCTTTAAGTCTTTCCTGACATGTCTGGTATAACTAACCCTACCCAACACACCCAGAGCAGTCATTACCCCCTAGTGGGAACATATAACATTCCACTTGGATGAGTATTTTTCAGTTTCTTGATCTTAAGTATGAACTAATTCCTTGAAGTAGGGACCACATTTCTTTCCATGTGCAGTGCCTACCTGAGGACCCGGCATGCTACTGGTGCTCAGTAAACACTAAAGTGAACTGAACTCAGAAGGATGACCAGAACATAAAGACAGTGTCACATCCAGCTAAAGGAAAACTGTTCTGTGTCATCACGTCTCATGTTTTATGAGACCTATAGATATTTTTTTTTTGAGACAAGATCTCATATAACCCAGGCTTGTCTCAAACTTACTATGTAGCTGAGGATGGCCTAGAGCTCCTGATCTTCCAATTGCTAGGATTACAGGTGTGTATCACTGCACCTGGTTGTAGATTTTGTTCTTAAAAATTTTTAAATAACTTGTAGGGATCAGTTTCCTTCTACCACATGGGTCCAGGGGATTGAACTCTGGTCATTTGGCTTGGTGGCAAGTGTCTTTACTCACTAAGCTATCTCATCAGTCTGAGATTTTGTTTTTAAAGAAATTTTTGTCCTTTAATTTCCATGTAGTGATTTAACTCTTGTATGCTATATAGATTTAGCTTTAATATGCTAAGTAGGTTTCCATTAATAACACTGCACTGTTATGCTAGTCTGACTACCTGAAACTACATACCACTAATATAGCATAAATTCTCAGTTGTGTATTCTATTATTATTTTTTTTAATTGAGAGTCTCACTATGTATCCCAGGTTGGCCTGGAATTTAAGATCTTCCAGCTTTGGCCTTCTGACTACTAGAGTCCAGGGATGTGTCACCTGGCTGGCATCCTACAAATTTAGAATTATAGTATGTCACAATGTAAGTATGAGTGGGGTTTTGTCAGAACGAATTCCAGTGATAATAACAGCTTATCATTATTGTGCGTGGAATTTAATATTATCAACCCATATTGATAAATAATAATTTTGCTTTAGAAGTAATTGAGGAGATACACAACAATATAAAAGGCAGGATATAAGCTCGTATCACACGTGTGATAGTCAAGGATTACATTTATAGGCAGAGTATAATGGGATACACCTGTAATCCTAACACCCAGGATGCAAAGGAGGACCACAGCAAATTTGATGCTGGACAGGGTTATACAGCAAGGCCTGTCTCAGGGTAAAAAAATAAAAATCTATTTTTATAATTTAAAATGAAAGATGGTTTCTAGGGAAAGTGAGTCATAAAGATCTCAAGCAAAAACCCTCTTTTCAAAGAGATTAAACTTAACTAAAGAAAGCAAGACACCAGGTATGGTTGTGCACATCTATAATTCTAGCTATTGAATGCTAAGGCAATAGCTCAAGTTCAAGGTCACCCTGTGTAATTTTAAAAACCTCTGTGACAAAAGGGGTTGAGAAGATCTGGAAGTATAGCTCAGAGGTAGAGTCCTTCTAGAATGTATGCAGTTTAGGTTTAATCTGCAGCATTGAAATTATTAATCCCAGCACTCGGGAGGCAGAGGCAGGTGGACCTCTGTGAGTTCGAGGCCAGCCTGGTCTACATAGTGAGTTCCAGGACAGCTGGGGCTACAGGGAGACCCTGTCTCAAAAAAACCAAAAAAAAAAAAAAAAAGGTCTTACAACATGCATATATATACACAACAGTAATTATGAGAGTAGATATATTAATTATGGTAATCACTTAAATGTGTGTACACATCAAATCATCATATTGTACAACTTGAATATACAACTTGTGCTTCTTAATGAAGCTGAAAAAGAGTAAGTTTTAAGCATAATAGAAACTTAAGCAGAATACTGCATATTAGTAAGAATCAATGGCTGAAGAAAACAGGAAAGCAAATTAAGGTCTTCTGCTTGGTCAGAGTCATGTCTGTATTGGCAGTCTGTATCACTTTAGGCCCAGTAATTAGAAAGACCACTAGAGAAGGTTTAAAAGAGATACATCTGGGTGTGGTGGCACACACCTTTAGTCTTAGCACTCAGGAGGCAGAGGCAGGTGGATCTCTGTGAGTTCAAGGCCAACCTGGTCTACATAGATAATTCCAGGTCAGCTGGGGCTACAGGCAGACCCTGTCTAAAAAAAAAAAAAAAAAAAAAAGAGAGAGAGAGAGAGAGAGAGATACAGAGATGGCTCAGTAGTCAAGAGCACTGGCTGCTCTTGTAGAGGAGGACCCAAGTTCGGTTCCCAGCGCTCACACAGTGGCTAACAACAGTCTGTAACTCCAGTTCCAGGGGATCCAATACCCACTTCTGACCTCCTTAAGCGCTGCATGGCATGGGTGCACTTATACACATGCAGACTAGGCACTCATACACATAACATAAAAATAACAAATAAAATAGTTTTTTAAAGATACACAGAGACCATAAATGTTTAGCACAAATGATCAGAATTATCCATATTTTTGCTTGGAAATCACAATTGCAAAAGGTAAATTCATGCTGCTGAGATGTATACCAAAAGCTCAGGGACTCCTGACCCTGTGCTAGACTCACAATTACTGTTCAAAAAAAAATTGTCAGTTTCTTCCCTTATAAGCTGCCCTTCAATCTATTTTGAGTTTGAATAAAATTACTATGTCAAAGGTTAAGGGTGTAGCTTAGAGTGTGATTCCCAGCACTAACAATAATCTCACTACGTCATAGGCATGCCAAATGAATAAGAGTTACTAAACAGATAAAACAAATTTCAAAACGATATTCCAATCTCAGTATTTTTGTTTATTCACAATTTTCTACTTACAAAGTCCTGACGTATGTCATTAAAGTCTTTGCCGTATTTTTCCAGTGCTTCTTCAAATAAGCTCGCTTCGGAGGCTGACCATTCTTCCATTTCATCTCTGCATAAAACAGGTCCTCCAAGAGGTACCAAGACACTGATTGCACTGCTCAAATCATAGCCGTGTCTGTACAATGTATCCATAGCGTGAAACTAGAGAAGAGAAATAAAATGGCCAGGAAATATCAGGTAGATATGTGCACCTGCAGATCACCTAAACCAAAACACTGAAACTCAAGAAAAACTAATTAGCAACCATATTCTCAGTACTGATTGATTGTTTTTGTGGTTTTATTGTTGTTGTTGTTTTGAGACAGGGTCTACCTATGTAGTCCTGGCTGGACTGGAACTTGCTATGTAGACCAGAGTGGCCTTGAACTCACAGAGATCCACCTGCCTCTGCTTCCTGAGTGCTACTACTCTGGGCCTTTCAGTACTGACTTTTAAATAACAAAGTTAAACAGCTAAACAGCATGAAATAGTTACTTAAAATATCATTTATTGCTTTAAGAGAATGCTAACTTGTACCATTTAAGGTTTTTTATTTAATGCATCCCACTTGGAATACCAACTTAACCACGAAGATCAAAATGCTTAAAACTTAAATTAAATATTACATAAAAATATTAAATAAAAGAATAAGAGATGGAAAGATGGGGCTGGAGAGATGATGGCTCAGTGGTTAGGAGCACTGGCTGCTCTTGTAGAGGATCAGAATTTGGTTCCCAGTACCCACATGGTGGCTAATAACTGTCCCTAACTCCAGTTCCAAGAGATCCTATGCCCTTTTCTGACCTTTGCAGACATTGTGTGCACATGGTACACCTACATACATGCAGGCAAAACATTCATACACATAAAATAAAAATAAATAACTTTTGAAAAAGAGATGGAAAGATAATCTCAGCACTCAGGAGGCAGAGGCAGAGGCAGGTGGATCTCTATGAGATTCAGGCCAGCCTGGTCCACATAGTGAGTTCCAAGCCAAACAAAATTACATATTAAGGCCAGTGAGTCAGCCCAGCAGGTAAAGGTTCAATTACTCTAACCCATATAGTGGAAGGAGAGAATCAACTCCTGCAAATTGTCCTGTGACTTCCACATGAAGGACATACACACACACACACAATAAATAAATTAAAAATTACACATTAAAGCCAGGTGTGGTGGTGCACGCCTTTAGTTCCAGCACAGGGGAGGCAGAGGCAGGCAGATCTCTGTGAGTTCAAGGCCAGCCTGGTCTACAGAGTAAGTTCAGGGTCAACTGGGGCTACAAGGAGACCCTGTCTCAAAAAGACTAAAGATAAAAATTTTAAAAATTACATATTAATATAAACATAAAACAAAATAAAAATTACAAACCTACATTAAATTTGTTAGTTTGGTTAAGACTTGGGATGACCAAGAACAGACAATCAGGCATTCTTAGAACAGCTAGACCAGTGTAGGTTTCTATCTATCTAAAGGAAGAGTTATTTGAAGAGTAATTTGAAGAGGACAGAGAAATTAGGGCATACAATTGGCTTTTTTGCAAAGGTTAACTTTAAAAGCATTTGGGGGGCTAGGGGACATAACTGTGGTGAAGCAGTTTCCTGTCATTCATGAAGTCCTGGGTTTGATGCCTTGTACCCTATCCCTGAAAGAGCATTATCTTTCCCAATCATCAATTAACACAAAACTTGAAGTTTTGAATTTTTTTTTTTTTTTTTTTTTTTGTCTTTTGAGACAGGGTCTCCCTGTAACCCCAGCTGGCCTGGAACTCATTGTGTAGACCAGGCTGGCCTTGAACTCAAAGACCCACCTGTCTCTGCCTTCTGAGTGCTGGGATTAAATGTGTGTGCCAGCGCACCAGGCTCTTGAAAAACTTTTGATAACCTTTCTACTGGAGAGAAATAGAGTCTGTTATACAAGTGCACACACTTGCAGCGCACAGCAGATAAACTGCAGGTCAAGATTATGCCTGTGTGTGTAGATCCACACATGAGCTCAGCACAGATTATTTGGCAGGGTGATGTTAGTTTTGTTTCTGTCCTTCCCCATCACACACTTTCAAGAACATGAATGCTAAGCCTTGCATCTTTACATAAAGCTCCTTGTGCTACTTATTTTAAACTTCACAAATGGAAACAGTTTTACTTTCTAATTAACAGCAAGTCTCTTAAAAACTTCTATGATTCCAAAATATATGATACTGTGGAAAGTTCCCTACTGATAAGGTAGCATAACATAAACTTCAAAAATCAACTAGTATTAAGTCAGATGTGGTGGCACACATCTTTAATCCCAGCACTCAGGAAGCAGAGGCATCTGTCTCTTTGAGATTGTGGCCAGCCTGGGCCACATAGTGAATTCCAGGCCAGCTGGGACTACGTAGGGAGACCCTATCTTTAAAAAAAAAAAAAAAAAATCAACTAATACAGCCGGACATGGTGGCACATGTCTGTAATCCCAGCACTTGGAAGTTCGAGGGAGGAAGGCCAACCCAGGCTGAACAGCAAAATGCTGTCAACAATCACAACAACACAACTATATTTTTACACTGTGATACATTAATCAAGACATTCAATAAGGGAATAAAAATAAATTTGTTGACAGAATCAAAGGCAGTATCTAGTTCAGATCTGTTTAGGTCCAGGAAGTAACTAACTGAACAAGGGTTGACATCATACTTAAAATCTATCATTGCATTCCACAAAACAAAAGCCAAAAGAAAAATTTATTATCAATTTGCTAGTCATCGTCACAGCTCGGGGTCACTGTCAAGGCACTGTCATGTGTCACCACCGAGGAAGAATAACTTACAGAATCTCTTCTCACCCTGCGGCAGCACAGATTGAAAACAGAATTGACCTTGACTCCTTGCTTGTATTCTGCAAAATTTCACACTCTACCAATCTCTGATTCTCTAGCTGATCTCATTATATAGACCTAGCAATTAGCTATTTTGTTTATCTCCAGAACTGATTATTTCTGAATAACCTGTCTATAAAAAAAGGGTCAATAGTACTTGGGGATCTTTTCAATTAACAATATGGTCATAAGCCTCCTAAATTTACTACAGGTAACAAAACGAGAAGACCCGGCTGGAGAGATGGCTCAGCAGTTAAGAACACTGACTGTTCTTGCAGAAGACCCAGGTTCAAATCCCAGCACCCACATGGCAGCTAACAACTGTCCATAACTCCAGTTCCAGGGGATTCAACAGCCTCTTCTGTCCTCTGCGGGCACTGCACGACACGGGTGCACTTACCTATATGCAGGCATAACACTCATACACATAAAATAAAAAATAAATATTAAAAAAAACCCTACAAGATCAAATAACATTCCAAAGTCAGTATATTGTGGCTTGGTGGCCACCCACTTGCAATCCACTTGGGGTATAAAGGCAGCAGAATCAGCAGTTCAAGGTTGTCCTTGACTGTATGAGATCCTGTCTCAAAACCAAAAACAAACAACACAAAGTCAATAATTATACGAGGGCTGGAGTGTAGCTCAGTGACAGAGAACTTACTTGACTTGTGTGAGGCCCTGGGTTTGATCCCCAGTACTTCGTCCAAAAAAATTATACAAATTAATTGTGATGCTGAAGTTCCTCAAAAGATAAAAGCAATTTTTATAATAACTTGTGCTCTGAAACCAAAAGGCCACAGAATTAAATGTGTTTATCTCCGGTGATATGGCATCAACCACTTAAAACCTCCAAAGTCCACATTTAAACCACAGCAGAAGCCAAGCACAAGGGTGCTCACTGCAGCCCCAGCTACTCAAGAGGCCCAGGACTGCTTCCAGGCCACCAAGGCAACACAGCCTGAGTTGACAGAATGAGACTTCATCTCTACACAAATAAACCACAGCCCAGTGCAAACGTCAGCATAATTGCTATGGGTAGAAAGCAAACTTCCCACCAGGCACCATGGAATTTTTAGGGAACAATTTCAATGAGGGAAACAGGAGGTCATATCTGCTAGAAGTCCACATTAATCCCGTTTTTTCAGAGACACACAGATGTTTCCTTTGAAAGAACTTTTGTGTAGTCTAATGTACTCTTAAAAGCTTTAAGTAAAAGAATATAGTTTCTGCAACAGAAAAGACAACATTAAATAAAGAAAATAATAAAAATTTGAAGAAAGCAGACAAGTTCAGGGGTGTGCACCTCCTGGGTTTCAGAACACTGACTGGGAGGGGCCAAGAGAACTGGGATCCTGGGATACTTTATCTAAACCTGGTACTGGTTATGCTGATGTATGCATGTGCAAAACTTACACAGTGTGCAGCTAAGTGAAGGTCACTTCATACATGTTATTATACGTATATCCCAGCTTAAAATTTAAAATGAATTTGGCCCCTCAAGTTGTAAGTCAGAGGTGTACCTGAGACCCCCCAAAACAATACAGCCTATTGCCATTGCTCTTGGTTGCCTACCAAACTTGATGGTGAGACCCTGTTGCTGAAAATATCAAGCACACTGGTCATAGAACAAGTGGAAATTAAGTTGGTATTGATCAGGAAGCTTTCTCCCTGTTGGTTAGCTTTCATAGTACTAGAAGGTGCTATGTAGGCTTCTGGGGGCAGGAGAAGTCATCGACTGTCTTATCCCCTATGAACTCTGTGAACTACAATAATGAGCGGCATGGGAAGATATACCCATGGGTATATCTGGTTGGATTTAAGGCCCAACTCCACCCATGCCTGGTACTATAAATCTGGCTAAGAACCCATAGTTAGGGCACTCTCAGGCCCCAAAGGTGAGCCTACTAATATTATTCTGCTAAATGGACATAGTACCAAACTGCCCTTTAAATTCATATTTCTCTACCCATAGATTAGTGCAGCTCTCAGGCCTCATTAGAAAAGCTTTTTTGTGCAGTGCACGGTGGTTAACACAGAAACTCATAACTGGTCAAAATTCTGAGAATAAATGACAGTGGAGTGTTCAGCCAAATAGGACATCTAACATACACATACCAAGGCTCAGGAACCATCTCAGAAGAGAGGGGCAGAAAGAACGTAAGATCCAGAGATTGGGGAGGACTGGAGTGAAACAGTGTCTTCTGGACACAACAGGACCACAGCAGTCATGGATTCACAGTAACTGTGGTTCCCTGCATAAAATCAAACCAGTCCACATTCCAGCATGGATAGGGGAGGCT